AGGATTGAGAGGACAGAGGGATTCTTCATCTTCTTCAGGATGATTTATTTGGAAGCTGAAAGGGGATCTTTTCCTTTGCTCTTAGGGTCTGTTTGGAGGGGGCTTTTTTATGGGAAATAATGAAAAAATATATGACTTTTGCCTCATGTTGTGCTTTTCCCCACACCACAGGGTGGATAGAAGGAGTAAAACTCTCAGACCGGGAGAGAGGCTGGTTCCCCTCAGAACACGTGGAAAACATCTCCAGCAAACACGTGCGGCAGAAGAACCTGAAGGAGGAGCAACGGGTGAAGAATGCCAAGCAGCAGGTTTTCTGCAAGAAATAAGACTCTGTTTGGACCTGTACAGTCTCCCTGCCATGGGGGTGCCATGGCTTTTCTATTGTGCCTCAGAAGAAATGCCTCTGCGAAGAGCATAATACACAGCACTTTGACAGGACCAGGTGCTTTTTGCCAAAGAAAGCGGAAATTCAATCAGGAAAAACTTCCTCTGTGTCAACAGGACTACGGCAGCAAGAGGAGGGATAAAGATTGCATGTATTGCTTGCTTTGTGGTAGTAGGGAGGGACTTAAATCAGAGAGAGGTCTGGGGTCTGGACTTCTGAAAAGATATTCCTGGTTTTGCCACTGACAAGTTGCGGGACCTTATGCAAGTCACTTCAGAGTTCTGCCTCAGTTTTGCCATCTGCAAAATGGGGGTAAACTTACCTACCTCACTGCATGTTGTGAGGCTAAATTCATTAGTATTAGCAGCCTGAGAGCTTCAAGTTCCAGAGAAGGAAGGTGCTAAGTGCAAAGCACAACAGAGCTGAGGAGAATATTCAGTTTGAATATCCTCTGGATACCTTCATGGCATTTGATCTCCATAGTGTAATTTCCATGTAGGGCAATTTATGTGTTAGATCATGCAAATCTACTGGGGTTTAGATAGGCAAATATTTCATTGTACCCATATGCTGTTAAGAGTCCTTGACAGCATTACAAAATCCGTTGGAATTAAGCAGAGTTTTCAGAAGCCACTGTGATGATTTTCCCCACATATGAGGTATCATGCTGAGGAATCTGCTTCACAAAGGTCACTTCTCTTCTGAACAAGCATCCCACCAAGCCATCTGAACTGACTTTTTTTTTTTTTTTTTTTTTTTACTCTGCCTCTCCCTGGAAGATCAGTGACTTTTGACAATGATTTATATTTCGTGTTGGTACACGCCCCGTACAGAATAACCAGGACTAGGCACATGCAATGAAGTGGCACTTTACTGCTGCTCTTACTCTGATTGCTGATGTGGTATTGCATGCACCATTTTGCACACTTATGGAGAACACAGATATTTAGCCACTGTAGATAAAGTCAAAATATGCAGCAGGGTCTTTGTTCTTTTTAAGGACTCCTCTGGTTTTAAGTCCAGTTTACATGCAAAACCTGTCTGTTTGAGGATATGCCTTCACCTGTAAAATACTGTTTCTGTGTTAAAGTGTTCAGCTCAGTCAATGCAAGATCAGGTTTAAGAATCAATACACCAAAGAAAGCCACGTGTAGCCTCTTGCATTTAATATATTTGAAGAATTAGTTACCTTTGTATTTCCAGCTTTCTGTCTTTGTAACATTCTGCCTTTAAATCCCATTTACATTGTATCTAGAATAGTTTATTATGGCCTATTTATATCAATAATTTTAGCTGGATTAAAAGAAAAAAGTTGCTTTTAGTCCTAATAAACTCATGCACTTCTCCAGTTAAAAAGCTTTCTGCTTGCCTTGCTACTTAGGTTTTCTTATCAAATGTAAGTAATTCCATTTACTGAATATACATGCAGTATTTTTTTGCTATAATTTTCCTTTCTAAGTGACTGTTAAGTACAAACAGTGAGGAAAGCTGTGTTTATCTAGCCTTAAGGTTCTTCAGTATTATTTCCAGCCCTGGAGAGCTGATGCTGCAGCTCTTCCACAGTGGTGTTAGTCATCCATTACTGAAGGTAAGCTGAAAGGGTGAGAGCAGAAAGACAGGACCCATCATTCAACTTTTAATCTATGGTCAGACAACAATCTGCTAACACTTTTTCTCTCCACAGAAGGACTGGAGCTGGTCCTGAGCTAAGAGCCAAAGCAGAGCTCTACCTCAGACTCGCACAAGAAGGGTTATAATCCTCCACAAGACCCAGAATATTCAGATATTCCAAATGCCTGCTTGTCCCAGGCTGTCATGAATTTATGCAGTTCCAAGTCCCCAGGATTGTCAGTGTCTCAGGTGGGACACAATGCTGCCATTGGATCAATTCAGCATGTCTGTGTAAGGTCATCTCACACATCCACTTCAGCTTCTTCCAGGAGGAGCTAGCCATACATATCCTCATTCAAAATTAGAAGTCATCCTGTTCAACACCTCAGGTGGAGAGTTCTTTACTCTTTCAACTTCTGCTCTTGAAAGCAGGCAGGCAGATTGTTCATTAGAGCCTCCCATACAGAATTAGGCATATATTCATGCCTAATTATGCTTAGCATAATTAAGCATTAACACATGCTTAATTCTGTATGTTGTTAAAATTCCACTTGACATAGGAAACTTCAAGGGTACTGTTGTCACGATTGACAGCACTTCTATACTCTTTTTAACTAGTTGGATCAAAGGTTAACTTGTCCCCATCACAGGTACAGCCTTTATTTCCTGATGCCAGGCCTTTGTATGTTGAGGAGCATTTAAAGTTCAGCTTACACTTCTAAGAACAAGTGCTTATAACCCAGGTTACTTTGATATCTTACATTTCAGGCAGGCCTCAACTTCTCACTATTTAGTTAAACTTTTAGCCCCAGCACCATCCTTCCACCAAAATCCATAAACAAATCTACACTGAAGTGATTTTTGAAACTGATTGACATACCTTTTGATTTGTACAAACTTAATCAAACTAGTACAATATCCCTCCCAACTGCACATTCACAATACAGGAATCAAGTTAGCGGAGTGCCTACTGTGTCCTCTGACAATCTTAAGTCTGTCACAATGTCTCCTCACATTATCTAATGTGGATTACCTGATTTACCAGAAAATCAGTATTAAACAGAAGCATAGGGTATGTCATGCAAAGCCCAACACTTTCCTGCTATTTGCCAAGGTTCTGTAAGAGGTGCCACTGTTTGTTCCCCAGGAACCTGTGGAGACTGATACAAAGTCTATTTGGACAAAAGAAATTCAGGATTTCTGAAGAAAAGAAATAACTAAAGACAACCCTCAGGGCAGTTACACTAATTTACTTTTGTGGAAATGACGGCAATGAAGTACAATGAGCTGCATTTAAAAAGTTTTGTTGAGAAGCTGAGAAGTCAGGGTGTATGTCTGAAAATCAAATTTTATAACTGCTGACATCTTCATATAAAATATTAAAATACATATAAAGAAGTTTAATATATATAAGTGTATATATCTATATAAATATGCACATATATGTATGGCTCAAAAAACCCCCAAAAACTCCTAGTGCTGGAGACATGTGCTAGTTCCTGCTCAAGTAAAATAAAGCATTCTCCAGAGTTATTATTTTCACAAAAAAGGTGATATTAGGACCAGAGTTCTGTAAAGAAACACAACCTTGCTCAGAAACAACTTTTAAAGCAGATAGTGATTTTTGTATTTGCATTTTCTTCTAATATTGAAGAGGTCCCATGACCCTTCAAGATGTTGTGTCTAGTCAGCTGAATCCTGTTAACAAATTAAATGCCATTTTAGCACCAATTTCTTGCAGCTGCTGGTTGAACCAGGTGCTCTCTTAGACCAATTATACTGGCTCCAAAATGTTGGCATATCTTTCAGCTTACACTTGTTTAACCTGATGAAATGACTCTCAGTGACAGCATGTGCAGAAGCAAGGCCTTAGAAGCCAAAAGTGAACCTTGAAATAAAGACAGGAATTTTGAGTCCGGAGGAGAACAGTGCTGTGCCAGCAACATGATGATGAGCCAATAAACAGGAGGAGGATGAAGGATGTTCTGTTTTGGTGCATCAGAACACCAGTCTCGTTCTTCATGCAAGCACTGCCTGGTGCTGTTCTCTTAGGAGCCTACTTTTTACTAAGAATTGTTAAGTATTGAAAGGACACAAATTACAGCACCCAAAAGTCAGGACGTGCCATTTGCTCCTTGCAGCCCCCACTGCTGAAGAACCAGAAGCTGCTGGACACCTAAAACAAGTATCTTCCTGCCAGGCCACAGGAAAGAGCAGAATCACAGAATTCTTAGGGCTGGCAGGCATCTCTAGAGATGGTCCAGCCAGGCTCATCCAGAGCAGGTGACACAGGAACATGTCCAGATAAGTCTGGAATGTCCTCAGAGAGGGAGACTCCATTCCCACCCTAGGCAGCTCTTCAGTGCTCTGCCATTCTCTATGGAATAAAGGTCTTCCTCATGTTAAAATTAAACTTTTTGTGGTTTAGCTCATGGCTATTGCTCCTCATGCTGTTGCTGGCCACCACTGAAAAGAATCTGGCACCATCCTCATGCTACCCATTAAAGATTATTTATGAGATGCCCTGAGATGCATCTCATAATATTACTCTCATTATATTTAATGAGATATATATAGATATATAGATCATCTCATTATATTTATGATATGCCCTCTCAGTCTCCCCAAGCCAGAACAGACCCTGCCCCTGTAACATTCCAGACCCCTCATCACCTTTGCTTCCTTTCGCTGGACCCTCTCAGCAGCTCCCAGTTCTGAGGACCCCAGAACTGGGTCTGGCATCCCGACAACGAGGTTCCCTCATGCACGGGTGACGAGTTTCACAACGCCAAGGCACACACGGCGACATCTCAGCTCCCCACGGGGAGCATTCCCACCGAGGCGGGAGCACCGCCGCTGGCTCGCTGTGGGGAGCGGCGTTCCCGGGGGCAGGGCGGCCTCACCGCCGTGCCCAGGTGGCCCTGATGAGGCGGCCGGGGCCGGGCAGCTCGGGCCGCCGGGCGGGGCATTAACCGGGCCGAACCGGGCCGAACCGGGCCGCGGCATGGACGGGGCGGCCGAGGAGCGGCGGGCGGCCGGAGGGCTCGGCACGGGCTGTGGTAAGGGTGTGCGGGAGGGATACCGGCTCGCCTTAATGACCGGGGGGAGGCACCCGGCAATGAGCCTAATGAGCAGCGCTGGGGGAGGATAAACTGGGCGCTCATTAGCCTTCCATGTCCTGGGCCTCGTGTCCCCGGCTTGTAAAAGCACCTGGCCGGAGGCAGGGGGTTTTCCCTTTGTGTCACGCCGAGCATCTCCCGGTGCTTCGGGGTTTCTCATTCGCACCTTGCCCCGCTGTCCAGTTTACTCCTCGTTGTGTGCCGGCTGTTCTTTTCCCCTGCCATTTGTGTGTTCAGGTGGCTTTGTACCAAATGCCCCAAACAAACCGAAAAACCTTTGGCTTTTTCCGAGGAATGTCTAAAGCGGTAGCTGTGCGATGGAAAAGGGGGTTTGGCTTGCTGCAAGTGCGCCAGGGGTTCCAGAATACCTATTCCTGATGTTCCCACTCGTTAAAGTCCCTTCTATTTTACGTTCTGTTTCTCTAAAAGTGGGACAAAGTGATGCTCGGTCTGGTCTCTCAATGACGGGAGAAAGGTGTGCTTTTGTAACTCCCTTTGTTACCAGGAAGGCCCATCTTTCTCTCCAGACTTGGTTTTCATTTCAGCTCTTTTCCTTGGCAGTCCCAAATGGTTGGGAAGTCTTTGCTATCTGTTCTAGAAATACAACACAGCAGTTTACTTTCACTTAGAGAACTATTTCTGTAAAGAATATTAAACTCCCAGGTGTCCATTTCTTCTACAGATACAAGGTACCCACATAAGACTTGGACGCTGATTTTGTCATGTAAACACATACTGGGCTTTGCGTAGCAACAAGTAAAAACTCCTCTCAAATGATGTGAAAATACTCATTTTTCTCACATAATGAGTGAGATAAGCTCAGATGCAACCAGGAGGATGGTGGAAAAAGGAATTATATAGACCAGAGACATCTTCTTCCTCATTCAGTTCTTGACCCTCCCCATCAGGATATTTCATCTCATTTAACTGCAATGGAAACTTGTTGCTGCTTAACAAGATCAAATTATTATAGCTGCATAGTTTCCTGCTTCTGTTTCTTTCTCCTGCAGCTAATTTGGTTCTCCTATAAAAAGCAAATTAGATGCTCTCAAAGCAGCCAGCCATCCCCTCATACTTCTGTGAAGTTTCTCTTGTCTATTTGGAATTGTGGGGCTCCTCCTTGATTAACAGTTTTTTCAGAAAGAGACATCAAGGCAGAAGCAAATCCTTTATTTTGACATTGCACTAATATATATCAAAAGCAGAGCACAGTGAAATGAAATTATTTTTATATTTTCCCAAAAAAATTAAACTATCAAGTTTCTCTGTTGTCATCTGCTATTGAAATGCTGCCAACAGTCTGCTCAAAATACATGGGTTTGGGTTTATTATTCTACTTCTTATTCTTATTAAATAATCACTTAAAAAAAATTTAAGTAGCAGAAATGACACAGACTCACACATTCTGAACCACTCGGGAGATTTTTGGAACTTTTCATTTGGAAATGTATGTGCTAGCTGGGAAAGTATATGGTATTATTCTGTTGTCTATTTTAATTATTTCTCTTGCTGTGTTCTTTCTGACCTGTCTTCTACTATTTAGTCTGTCTTATTGTAACACAGTTTGTGGTTTTTGTTAAACTTAGTTGGACTTCTGTACATAATTTTGTCCTTATCCCCCTATCTTGTAAATGTGTTATTCAGAAGTGTGGCTGAAGCTGCAGAGAAATAATTTAAGGCAATTATTAGAAGTTCGTACAATTAATGGTATTTTGCTTGGCCAGCTTTGGAATGATAGAACTCTATAAAAGTAAAAAAGTGATGACGTTTGTCAGATAATCCCTGCTGACACAGTAGACCAGAATTTTGCTTCTCTCTTTCTTTTGCTCATTTTAATAAGGTGACAGGATCTTGTCAGGTCATTGATTTTTGTTCTGTTGCTTATTCCAGAGACCTGTATGATCCCTGAGGCTGTTTTCCCACTAGTGTATTTGTAATATGCAAGCTTTCCTTTATTCTCTGTGTCTGGAATGACCCTCTTCTGTAGTTTACAGTTTGCTTTTAAAATGAGGCTTTTCTCATCACACATTTGAATATCTCCATATTGAGCATATCAGGTTCTTTGCTGTTGCTTTCCTGGCAGCACCTGTCTTTATTTTGAGCTCTCAGGTTCTTGTCACTGTTGGGTTTTGTTGTGTGGGCTTTTCCTTCCCCCATAGCTGAAACTCCCAGGCACATCCAGCTTTGGCAGTGGGCATGTGGGGTAGGGTTTGGGTTTTTTCCCCCCCGTTTTTGCCTTGCAGAGTGCCAGGATGAGAAGGAGAACATGCTGCTGAATCCAGAGCACCTTGTGGTGGATGCTGATGCTGTTGGTGACCACGGTGCAGGGAGCAGTGTGCTACCTGCATTCCCAGGCACAGTCAGACAAGAAATAGCTGAGGATAACTTGGGAATAGAAGACAGGAATAGCTCTGTGAAGAAGGTGGAAAATGATGGGGGATGCAGTACCCTGCAGGCAACTGGGTCATCTTCCAAAGGCTCCGTTGTCCTTGACGGCCAGCATGACTTTGCCTCGGCATGTGAGCAACCATCGGATTTCTGCGGTGACACGAAGGTTGGATTAGCACAGGAGCCCACAGGTCAGTCAGGGTCACAAGAGCACTCTGAGACTTGCTGCCCTGCTGGGACTGAAACGGAGGAGAAGAAGGAAAAAACTAAGCAGGCATCCAGTGGAGTGGCTGGAACTCCCTACAGGCAGGAGGAGATCGGCCTGGCCCCTCACCAACCCAAAGGTGCTCCAGGCAGCGCTGCAGCTCAGAATTCCTACCAGGGCTCTTCAGTCCTGGAGTGCAGAGGCAGCTGGGATGTGGCCAAGGGGAAAAGATCCTTACCTGTCAAGAAGAAACCCCGCACCTTCTACAGTGCAGGTAGATCTCAGGGCACACACTGGCACACAGTTACACTGGCAGTGCCAGTGGCACTTGGTGTTCCCTTCCCAGTGCTGATCTGCTCTAACTGGTATTGCACTGCACTCCATACCATTAGGTGTGTGAAGGCTTCCACTTACAAAGGCTGCTGAGTGTCTTTCATTTGAAGCATTGCTAGCAATGATCTCTGCTTTTGAAACAGCCGAAGATTTTTGTTTATTTTTGTGGTTTATTTTTTAAAAAATCGTTTTTTACTCATGTATTTCTAGTATAGTAAAAATGTTGTGGTTTTTTTTTTCTGTTTACCTCTCTTTTTAATTTTTTTTCTTATTTTCTTGTCACATACTTCCTATCTCTCTCTCTCTTTGGATAATGCATCATTCTTAGAGCAACTAGAAAAGCTGGAGAAGATGTTCCAGGAAGATCACTATCCTGACAATGAGAAGAGGAGAGAGATTGCAGCTGTGGTTGGTGTGACACCACAGCGTATCCTGGTAATGCCTGCTGGGGGACAGTGCTGCTTGTGGGTTCTGTGCAGAAAAGGGATGGGCAGGGACTGGGACATGACAGTGTCCCCATGTCTAGATTGTTTCTTCCCTGAATGTATTCCTTTCTTCCCATTTTTCAGGTCTGGTTTCAGAATCGCAGAGCAAAGTGGCGGAAATTGCAGAAGTTGAGTATAAAAGGCAACAGAAAATATCCAGCATCATCAGCTCTGTCAGTCCGCTTTGGATCAGAGGGCTATGGGTAAGGAATTTACTCTGTTTTCTCATTTTTCCACAACTGATACCTAAGAAATGAAATATTTTCTTTTGCCATTTCCCCTTCACTTTTAACAGTGAACAGCTGAGCATTGAGTAGGACCGAGGTAGCCTGTCAGATTTCTGGGCAAATTGTGATGGACCCTCTTAAAAGTCCTTTTGATTAACCTGTAACACAGATTAATCAAATTAATTTTGAAATAAAACAATTGAAATTGTTCTGGCTGAAATCATGTAAAGAGCAAGAGATGAGATGGAAAAATTTATGGAATCATCCCTTCATTTTTAGTTTCTGTGAATGCATCAGCCAGGTGCTTTGGTTGTCCTTGGGGTTTCTTTTAACCCAATTCTCCCACCACTACTTTCCATTTCCATGGATTTTCACTTGGTGATGGAAATGCTGCTTGCTTAGATCAGTCTTAGAAAGTCATGGACTTCTTTGAAGAAATCCAAGGTAGCACTTTTCATATGTGAGCAGAGGACATTAATGGGGGGAAAGGTAATGTGTAAGAGGGTAGATGGTCTTTCAAGGGATGGTGAATGTGTGAGGGGAGAAATCAATCTCCACAGGGATGTATTTGTGGCAATCTGGAGTGAGTCTCTTCTTATGAAGAAAACAGAATGGAAAGAGGAAAAATTAAGTGGAAGTTTGGAGAGCACCCTACTTCATTGCACTGTTTCTGCTGCCTCTCCTATTCAAGTGACCTGGGGCTGTTTCCCCAAAGATTTTTGATACAGCATTCCTTGCACTTGTCAGCCAGTACTTTCCCTTTGCACCTGTTGGTGATGTAGGATCTGCCCCTTGTCCGATAGAGGAGTGCATGACTGATCATAATGCCCTGCCTTGTCCTCTGTCTGCTGCAGTGCACCTCCTCTGCCCGTGCCTCCACTGCCTGACGCTGCTGGAGACCAGCCTGGCGTGCTGGGAGGAGACCCTGGAGCTGGGAACTGCTCCAGCCTGCTCAGCACACACCCTGAATCACCCACCTCTGCCTCAGGTGAGACCCCGACCAGCACGTGTGTTTTGCACAGCTGCTGCATTAGCTGGTGGGGCTGGGAGGTTCCCAAAGCTTTAGGAAAGGCCACGTCAGAGCCTTATGCCATCAGTGCAAAAAGTGACACCACGTCACTCCACAGGCTGAGAAAGTTGTGGCTGTTCTGCCTGAAGGAAAAAACAATTTGTGGAGACCTCAGAGGAACCTTCTAGTATTTGAAGTGGTCTACAGGGAAGCGCAAAGGGACTTTTCATCAGGCACTGTAGTGGTGGGACAAGAGGGGAATGGCTTCAAACTGAAAGAGGGGAAATTTAGGTTAGATATTAGGAAGAAATTATTTCCTGCAAGGGTGGTGAGGCACTGGCACAGAGTAGCTGTGGATACCACATCCCTGGCAGTGTCCAAGGCCAAGTTGGATATGGCTCTGAGCAGCCTGGGCTGGTGGAAGGTGTCCCTGCCCATGGCAGGGGCGGTAGAATGAGGTGGTCCTTAAAGTCTCTTCCAATTATTCTATGATTGTAGGTGTGGCAGCTCACTGCTGATTGAATCTCTACCAGTTATGTACCAGCATGGTGGTGCCCCTCTGCTAGTTCTGGAGACAGATTTGCAGTCCTTGTTTCTGTCCTAGCACAAGCCAGCAAGGAATTCTGAATAGGACTTCATGAGGACAACTGAGCAGGGCATTCTTCCATAACAGCTGTTTGACACTGGTCCTGCTGCTGTGAAGGATATGGGGAGTGTAGTTCTGGTTCTGATGTTCTCTGTGGCAGATATACACTCCCCATATTCTGGTTTAGATGGAAACATTCTGGTTACAGCCTGAGCCAAGTGAGCTGTATAAGGAAGGTGCACTCTGTGAACTGCTGGTGTTGTAAAGGCTCCATCAGGTACTCCACACCTTAAAACATCCAAAGGGGCTTCCTTGGCTTCTCCAGGCAGGGCCGGTTTCTATTTTGTGCAAGACCTTGAGGGCGTGAGAGTAGCCGAGTTGCAAAGCTGAGGGCTGAATTTAATCACTGTTGCAGTGGAGTTTAAAGTCAGTAGGGTGTGCTGTTCAACCAGTTTTCTACCCGAGCTCTGTTAAAAGCTTGATGGCAATAAAAGAGAGAGGATTTGTCTAATTGTTTATTGATGCGTGCAGTCCAAGAGCATTCCCTGCAGTCAGAGTGTTCCTTAAAGCATTTCCTAGATATGTTTGTGTTTCCAAGTTGGCACAATATGAAAAGATCTCCAAAGTGATGAGGACTCCGCCGCTTCCTTAGGGATGGTTATCCCAAGCAGTAGATGTGCTGACATGTGGTACTGCTGTGTGTGTTTTCCTGCTTCTCAGTGTAATTAATTTGTTGGAATTTCATGCCATTATGGCTTTCCTCTCGTTGTATTCTAAATATATCAGTATTAAGGCCAGTTCCTGCAACTCGTTTTGTAAGAATTACTCAAATTGTTTAATAGTGCTTTTACCTTAAAGGTATTTTGGTGTGGTGGAAAGCAATTGTAAGCTTACAATGCTTCATGTGTTGCTAAAAGTATGTAACTGAGATACTGTCTTTATAACCTAGTCTAGTACTTCTGTCATTTAAATTTGCCTGTCATCTTCTCAAGACAAGGACTCCTTTAGTCAGTCCAATGACCTTTTTAACTGTAATTCAGTCAGTTCCAGTTTTTCCACTTCTTGCAACAGACTAAGTGTGGTCAAAGTGTTTGAGTAATTCACTGCTTTCAGAGTGATGAAGTGAAGTCTGTTGAGCCCTGTTTTTTTGGATAGAAACCAACGTTTTGCGAAACAATTAAGGGAAACAAACCAAATATCTATCCTCTGATTTTCATGTCTTAGAAACCTCTCCCAATTCCTAAAGTACCTCTGCTGACACACTGGTTAGTCAGGAGAGAATATCAGGGAATCAAATAATGATTTGGGTTGGGATATCATCTCATTGCATCCCTCCTGCCATGGGCAGGGACACCTTCCACTATCCTAGGTTGCTCAGAGCCCCATCCAGCCTGGCCTGGAACACTGCCAGGGATGGGGCAGCCACAGCTTCTCTGGGCAACCTGTGCCAGGATCTCACAGGGAAGATTTTCCTTCTAATATCCCACCTAAACCTACTCTCTCTCAGCATGAAGCTATTTGCCCTGTTAGATAATGTCTGTCAGAGAAATAGTTTAATTCAGGGACATGATCTTGTCCTCTGCTTGCATTGATCCCTTTCTTCCTGGGTGATCTGCACATTGGGATGCAGTTCTCCATGTGGAAAACACAAGCAATTCTTTCTGATAGGAAAGAAAGGTCCCATCTGAATTCTTGGTGCAATGTGTAAGGAAGAAAAAGGGAAAGTGTCCTCTCTGAGAGAAAAGACTGATATTACTTGTAGAGACTCCTTGTAGAAGAGAGATCTGCATGGCACAATCACCTGGAAAGCTCCAGTTGCAGTTTTGCCTTACTAGGTGCAGGATAACACAGCTGTGGGGAATGAAAATCACTTTTTTGTTGTTGTTTACCATTGCAAAGTCAGACTTCTTCTCTTTAAAAATGAAAGCAAAAAATTAAAAAGAAGGAGAATAAAAGTCAGTGTGACTTGAATCCATTCAGCATCCTTGTTCAGAAAAAAAGCTTGCCTAGAAACAGGGCCACCCATGGACTGCCTGCTTTCATTATTAGAGTGTCTCAGAAAATGAAGGGGACAAAACTTGGATAGGATAAAATCCAAATTAACAGGAACAAAACAAAAGAGGAAACAGATGAATGAAAAAGGTTATCAATTTACAAGGAAAAACCAATTTCTTAATAGTGTCCCTCGTGGAAACAGCTCATGGATGGTTTCAGCAAAAGCCTCTGATTTCTGCATCGTGGTGTGGTTGGGCCCACAGAGTGTGACCTGCTGGAGTGGCTGTTCAGGTTCTTTACTTTTTAACTACTTTCAGCAGGACAAGAACATTACTTAAGTGCATGAGGACATTGCAGGGTGTGCAGTGCTGCAATTTCCATTGTTTATCCTTGTTCTATCCAGTACTTCTGACTGTCGTTTTTTTGTTTTTGTTGGTTTTTTGTTTGTTTGTTTGTTTGTTTGTTTTTTAATGTCCCACTGTTTTTACCAGTTCTCCAAACAAGCTGATTTAAAATATCAGTGAATTGTATTTGAGATGAGTCTTACCTTGCTGGCAGTTACAGCTTCTGATTTGGATATAGTAGCCACACTACTTGCCATAAGAGCCTTTTGTGACTCAAAACTTCAATTTTAAACTTGCTTTGATCTTAGAAATATTTTGTTGGTGTTTTTCTTTTTTCACTTTTGCTAGACAGCATGATTGAAATTAATGGCTTTCCTTTAGACAGTGGCAATTATTTGAAGCTTTTCTTGGTCTTCTGGGATTTCTTACTGATACATATATGTATCTGTGATTCATTGGCTTATGTTTTCTTTAGAGTTAACCCATTAGAAAGAAAAGTTCCTTTCTGTGCCTCTGGTTTGTGGGAGGAAATTTTTCTGCCCCACAGGTGCTTTTGCAGGAAATCCTTTGTTTCATGTCTTTGCCTTGCTGAGGACACCTGTCAGGAGCCCAGCCTGTGCAGGTAACTCTTAAGCAAATAGCAAGGTGATTAAATTCACTGATGGTACGGTAATGGAAATCTTGGGAGCAATTGGATGAAGCTGGATATGGCCTGTCAAAGAACAGTAAACAAATCACAAGCTCCAATGACTTCACTTACAGGACTCCGGCTTTCAAACAAATTTTGAAAAAAATTATTTTCTCATAATTTCAAGACAAGGACAAATCTATCAAAAAATTTGTGATGGCCCTTGATTCCAGTAAAGGCTGGAAACAGAATAACCATTCTAGAGTTAAGTCAAGTGTAGTGCCAGGACTGGTTCAGAGATCTGAAGGTGTAAATGATTAAACTGCTCTCCAGAAATTCCCAAGGTTGTCTTATGGACTGAGAACCCAGAAGTAATGGAAACAAGAAATAAAAATCCTACAGTTACATTCCCATGTTCACTGGAAAGCCTTCTGAGGTTCTCTCTCTCGCTATATCAGCATCAGGAAGGGCCAAAGAATTGTACAATGTAAACATTATGTCAAGCCAGGGGTCAGAATTCTTCATGGAACAACTCTGGAATCTTCTCTAGATATGTCAGATTCAGCAGATATGACTTCTCTGGGAATTGTTTCTTCTTACTGCATCTGTGACTTTATTTAGAAGACAAAATGTCAGTGCCTCTTTGAAAGGACAGAGAAGCAGAGGAGTCTTTAGAAAAGGCTGAACCAGCTCTTTGGAGATCAAGGGTGTTGTCTCAGTCTCACTGCCTGGGAATCCTATTGCCATGATCCACAAAGATTACCTGCACTAAGTGATGCAAATATTTTTAAAAAAAATTAAATTATTCTTAGTAGGTATGGAAGTGGGTTTAGAAGTGATTTCCTGGGCTGCTTGTGTTCATCCTGAGGAAGAGCAGAGCCATCTGCAGAAGAGCTGTCGTTACTGAACTGGAGCTTTACCTGGATATAGACTGCTTTTCAGGTAAGTTGTGCTCTCCATGGCTGCTGTTCCATAACGTTTGTGTGAACATTCTGGGGCACAGTGGCCAGGACAACCAGTGCTAAAGAAGGCTTTAAAAAAATCAAAAGAGATCTTCAATTTCATTTCTGGCTAAGCCAAAACCCAGGAATGCAACAGGTACATCTGAGATGCTGCCTGGCATGGATAACTGGTGTGTTCAAAAAGAAAAAATAAACCACTGAGAACTTCCTGGGCATGTGAATGCTTTAGACATGCCTTCAGTTTTCTAACTGAGCCCAAAATCAGGGCTATTGAAAACTTGAAAAGTTTTCATTGAAACATTTGATTCCTTCTCTCCATGGCTGCAGAGAGTTGGAAAAAACTAGAATGTGGGAAGATGCAATAAGAGGCACAAAACTGCCCAGCACATTGGGCAATCTGAGAAACAGTGCTGCAAGATGTTGAAGTGGAAACTCCTCATCAGCTCTCTGGACATGCATTCCAAAATTCTCAAAAGGCGGCTAATACTTTTTGTGGCATCTTTATGTTTAGGTTTGTGTTTAAGGCTTTTGAGTCACGCCTGGTGGAATATGCCTGCAGGGGTGAAGTGCAGCCACAGACTTTCCCTGAAAGCTTTGCCATGTGTGGGAGAGCTTCACCTGAGCAGCTGGTGATATTTCTCTTCTCTTCCTCATCTTTTAGCTGGTTCAGCCTAGCTAGACTGGAGAAATTGCAGCTTCCTGCACACGTGATGGCTGCATTTGTGAAGAGAGAAACCATTTGCTAATTGCCATAATAAGAGAGAACCTCATTTTCTTGCACTATGCCCAAGCTTCCTGAGCTTCGTATATAATTGTTACTCTGGATCACCAACATACCTGATTCTGATCTTTAATTTCCTCTATGTGTCTTTCCACAGAGGCTGTTCTGTAGGAAACTGTTCCTCTCTCCTTTTCCAGCAGTGACAAGGAGACAGGTCACCAAACAAGATTCTACCAACCAAAAGGTGTTGGTTTCCTTTCCCATCTCCCATCTTCTTTTTCCCAAGGATCTTCAGCTGCCATCTCTGCATTTTTAATTTTTGTTTTTGGCAGGACTCTATCAGAGGCCAAACTGGAGTGAAAATGTGTTTCAAAACAGCCTAGACGGTGGATTTGTAAAGGCACAGCTTTGTTTCTTTCAAAGCACAGTTCATTTTTTCTAAAGGGTGATCTATGCAGCACACTTCTCCCAGAGGACAGTAGAAATGGAAGATGACTGGGGGATTGTTCCTAGCTCTTTTCCAAGAAGTACTTTGCCTCATTTGGCTGCCTTCTTGAGAGCTGGATAAAGATAGTATGCAGAGCCTGAAATCACAAAGGTAATTTTATTTAACCAATAAACATCCTGTGTTCCAGAGAGCTTGCTACTACTCCTTTTTGTTTCACAACAGCAGTGCTGGTACTCATTTACTTTTATTCCCATCAATAACCTCCACTCTTTCACTGGCATATTGCTTTTCTGTCCTGCTCCTCTTGTCATTCCCTCTGCTTGCTCCTGCAGATTCCCAGTGTGACAGTCTCTGTTTTATTCACAGCCTCCTCGGTGGCAGGAGTGGTGGCACCCTGTGAAACACAAGCTCAGAGCCAGGCGCTGCCGCAGCTGCACTTCAATTCCAGCGGCACAGTGGAGTGCTTCCCTCATCTTCCCAGCCCTCCTCCCATCCGCAGGGCCAGCCTGGAGCTCGGCCTGGCCTTCGACCTCGACAGCCACATTGTTCCCCTGATGCTGGACACGCCCAGCAGGGAATGCAGCTTGGCCAGCCAGGAAAATGGCTTCAGGGATGCCTTCTCTTATGGCGTCCAGAACCAAGGGTAGGGGCAGATGCGAGTGTCTTTGAGAGAGACGAAAAAAGCAGCCCCTGGGAGAAACCTTGGGAGGGTGAATGTGGGACAGGAGATGAAGAATTAGATGGGAGCATTAATGAAAAGGGAGAGGCAGATGTGACAATAGCATTTAAAGGGAGTATGAAAAGCTGAATAATGTGCATAATATAGGACAGGTTGCTTGCTATGAGACAGGTGCTACCTGTACTCTGAGTGCTCTCAGAATTGCATGCCTGCCAAGTGAAAGTGAGGGTGAAGGTTGAAGAGTGGGAAGATAATCCCCACTAACACCCATTGTTCAAGAATCCTGCTGTGAAAGCACAAGTGGCTTTTGCTGTCATTATCCTGTGCCTGGCATTTGGGAGGACGGGTTGATAATAAAACAGTTGTTAATGGGACAGGTTGGTGTAGCTGTTGACCCTCCTTTAATCTCTGGGTTGCCTCTCTCCTTGCTCTCTGCAGCTTCAGTTCACCAGTTTCCTGCCCTTACCCGGAGCAGCTGGAGCCTGCAGACAACCTGGAGGCCACCTACTGTCAGTACAGCAGCCAGGGGGGAATCTACCAGCTCTCCCAGTTGTGTCACCAAGGTCACCTGGCCAGCAATATGTTCTCCAGTGACCACCTTCCTCCTTCAACACCCCTGGAATCCCATCCAGTTTTCCCTGATTTACCTGACAACAGTGGAGCCATAACCTATGGAGCCACACAAGGCTATGTACAAAACCACACGGAGGGACCAGTCATGCCACAGCAGCCAAGTGGCAATTCAGGTAAATTTCTGAATTATTTTGGCACCTTGCTCCTCTAGAGGAACTAAATAATACCCTGAAACATTCAGCATGATCAGTGGGTTCAGAAAGAAGGAATGGTCCACATGCTTATACAAATCTATAGATGTGCCCATCTTTTTTTCACTTAATTTCCTTGTATGCTTTTTTTTTTTTTTAAAGTACTGAGTAACCCATTCATTTGAACCAAAAGTTACTACCCAGACTGCACATGTCAGAAAGAGCATAAAATGTGAATGTGTCAGATAGTGCAGAGGTTTTGGCTGGACTAGAGAAGTAACTTTTGTTTTCCAGGAGTGTCGTGTTGTGTACACAAACATCCCTTCATTGGATGTGGTGGGAGTCAAGGGTGCAAAGTGGAAAAGGTGCCACAGCAGATGGGATAGTTGGAGGAGGTAGTGAGGAAGAACAGCCTTCTCTGTTTGGCTTCTGCAGAAACCAGTTTGAAATCATGTTATGTATCTTAGGGTAGTGCAAAAAAAGAGAGAGACATAACAGAGTATGGACATAGATTCTTCCTCTGACCTGAATTTGCAGCAGGACTGAGATGAAGCACTCCAACATAATTTTCTGGAAAAAAAAAATCCTCCTAGGTAAAAATGGCATTGTTGATCTCTTTGTTTTGTGTCTGGGCTTTGTATTTTGAAGTTATTCAAGCCCAACTGTAATCAAATGACAAACTGTTGTAGTTAATTCATTTGGACTGACAGGTTTGTTGAATTAAGGTCACGCTCCAAAAGCTCCATCCCTTGTCTTGTGACATGAGGGAACAAAGAATTTTAGCCCACAGATGCTGCTGCTGTTTTTGTACCAGTTCTATGGACCTTGTCAGGGAGGGAAGTCTGACTCAGTCTGACTCACATCAGGCTGCAAGCTGGCTCCTGTCCCCACTCTTCAGAGCTGACATTGTTCAGGTTGGCAGCACCCATGCTACCTAACACACTTGGCCTTGCTGCCTGCTCTGGTTCCAAGGTATAATTATTATTTTCTGTGGTTTTTCAGTCTGAAGTGCCAGAAATAATGAGAGGGCTGAGCCCCAGACTGCATATAATGAAATGTATTTCTAGCTTGATGCCCAAGTGTGTGCTGCATTCCTTGGGGCATGTTGTATGAGCATCAAGGGGTGTGTAAAGGTGCAAGCTGGTGAAGTTGGAAGATTGTCGAAGGAACAGATGCAGAGTTTATATTCTCTTACTCCATACTTTTGTCCAGAATGCAATCAGCAGTGAATGGCTTTTCTGTTATGCTGTGGGGATGACCAAATTCACAGAATCACAGAATGGCTTGGTTTGGAAGGGACCTCAAGGCTCATCCAGTTCCATCCCCCAGGGACACCTTCCACTATCCCAGGTCGCTCAGAGCCCCATCCAACCTTGCCTAGAACACTTCCAGGAATGAGACAGCCGCAACTCCTCTAGGTTCCAGTGCCTTACCACCCTCGCAAGGGTGAATCCTGGAAAAGTTCCAGGATTCCCAAAGTGCAGGGCTGGAAACCAGTCTATTAGTGCAGACACACCTGGGAGTCTTATATCAGCACATAAGCAAGTGAGCAGCTTATTTGAATTATGGATATTAATTAACAAAACATTCCTGGTTTACAGCTTTTATAAATGAAAGTGAAGATTAAGTATCCATCTTATGCCTGGCAGAGCTAACTTGGAAAATGTGACTGGAAAAAAAACTTGGGGGGTGTCTCTATCATTACATACACTCAGCATCAGTGCTGAGTGGCATGGATTTTTTTTTTTTTTATTATAACAATGCTATTAACTTTGTAAGCTTTTCTTCCTAAGAGCCATGTTTTGGTTAAATACACTCAAGTGTAAAGAGCAAAGTGATCCTAGCTCTGTGTGTGGTGTCTGCTGCACGGCAGTGCTGGGTTTGCACTGAGTAAAGCACAACACACACACCTTGTACATAGGCATGCTTCCATTATTTTCATTATTCTTCTTTTCTTGGTGGCTTTTCCCTCAGCAGACATCCATGCCTATCCAGCTGTGCCCTGGAGTGATTTCTACATGCAGGGAGCTCCTTTCTCCAACCAGTTGCCTTCCCAAATGCCTTTTTCTAGCATGGCAGGAGGGCAGTACTTCACAGAGCCATATCTCCTTCAAGTGGCCAACGGGACAGTACTGGAATCCATGCCACAGACTGGAAAACAAAAGAGAGTGACACCACCAGAGCAAAGTTCCTACCAGAGCTACCAAACAGAGCCAGAGTTGGGAGCACTTGCTGAAAAAGAGGCCTTTGAGAGCAGCAGCAAGAAAGGAGAGACTACTGTTGGTAACCAGCTAAATGTTTTCTTGGAGGAGGAGGAGGGAAAAGAGTTGTAAGACAGCAGTAGCTCCCATGAATGAAGGATGAAAACTGTGGGGTATATTTTTTTGTGAGCTGCTGCCTGAGGCAGTTCCCATGATGCTACCCCTATCCTATACCTAGTTCTTAGATCCATCTGTTTTTTGAAATGGGGACAGAAAAGTCAGTAAAATAGGTGATAAAGTTCTGTATTTTCTCCAACATCATCTGTTGTGAGCTGTACGGCTACACAGGACTGATTATTTCTAAGATTTCCAGAGGCATGAACACTTCTCTTGGAGGCAAATATTAACCAAGAAGGGAGAAGGGGAAGGGAGGGTTTTTTGTTTAGATTCTCAGGCTTTTATCTTGGAAACAGAATTACCTTACTCTGTTTTGAAAGGTGAAAGTTGAATTACCTTACTTTATTTGTAAAGGTGAATTGTTGAAAGGTGTCATATGACATAAATGTTCTTTGAAAGGGTGTCTTTGTTGGGGGTGCATGTCTAATTTTGAGATAGAAAACATCTGAAAAATTCAAGGTATTTTGTGTCACATTTTCTTATGAATCTGGGTTTTTTTTTCAGAAATTCAAGAAGAAATTCATGACTAATGCTGCACTCTGAGAAAAAAAAGGAAGAGGAAAAATTGCTATTTCAAACTCTGCAAAAGAAGAGTCTAAAAGAGACAAGGATAATATTATTTGCAACAGATGCATTTTTTCTTTTTTTTCTTTTTTTTTTCTTTTCTTTTCTTTTTTTTTTTTTTTTTTTTGTTACCATGAGTATTTTCTTGCTGACAAAAGAAGCAGGGATATTTCACTCAATAAAAGTTCCTGCTCTGTTTTTTTTTGTTGTTTTTTTTTTTTTTTTAAATCTCCTGGCTTTATCCTTCTTAAGAAATTCTAACCTTGACCAGCCCTCAGACAGGAGAGAGCTGATGCAGGAACCAGAATCCCATGGGTGAAAATTCCAGATCATGCAAGTATCAGAAGGTCTGGCTGCTGTCCTGGAATACACAGGAAGATAAACCAGGAGAAATAAGATAAGATATATGCAAAACAGGAGGAGAAACTCCAGCAACTGGGACTTCAGACAGCAAAAAAAGTGTCTTTGGAAGTCCAGCAGTGATTTGGTTCTAGCCTTGAACTACTTCTAAAAAATTATTTTTGTTGTAAAACTGTAACAATAAACAGCAAGACTGTAACTATTACTGCTGCTGGTGTAACCAGATCCCTGTCTATTATTAATTGCTTTAGCATCCCATTTGAATTGATCTGTTTGAACTTGGCTTCATCCTTTTGGCTCCTGCTTTGCCTGGGGAACAAATGAAATGTGTCCCTAAAATCAGTGGTAAGCATCAGCGGACTCCAGTGAGGAGACTGTTCATGATGAGAGCTGCAGTCCCCAGGAGCTGTGCTTCCCTGAGGAGCTGTAACCATCTGCATGTGCAGGATGTGTAATACCAGTGGCTGCAATGGATGTCAGGCTCTGCTGTGAGGAAGGAGCATTGTGTTGTAGGGAGAGGGCCATGCATTTCCTTTGTTACTTGCTGTGTTTAACCCTGAGTCTTTCCACTGGCTTTTAGACACAGACAATGCCCAAATAATTTTTATATTTACCGTGATGTGGGTGTCCCTCTTGTACCTTGTGAAATAAGACCTGGTAATTCCTGTTGTTTCAGTTCCTCTGCAGTCTGGCCATGGAGTGTCTGGCAGGAGCTGGATGCTGCAGCTCCTCTCCTTTTTCTTCCTCCTGTAAAACACTGGTTTATGTCTGGCAGTGGCTGAACACTACTGAAAGACTAAGCAGTATAGACAGGGACAGATTTTGAGTCTACAGCTTTGTGTGGCTATTCCAGAATTTCCATTTCTTATATCAAACATTAGTTCTTGCCTGTAATAAGCTGAGAATGGTTGGGAATGTGCATTAGTTCACACTTGTTTCACTCATCCTCAGCTGAACAGCCTAAACCTAAACCAAGAGGTGTGAATAGGTATTTTTATTGCAATTACAAATCACTCTGAAGGCTGTTCCTGGTGTTGACAACAAAATTCATCATAGTGAGGAGTGGCTGGGAATCTTGCCTGGATCCCAAACCAGCCCTTCCAGGTTTGGAAGAGGACAAAACCAACAAAATGCCAGCTTGTTCAGCCCTACCTGCCCCTTCTCCTAGAATGAAGAAGAAAATAATTCAGTATGCTTTTTGAAAAATGTGCATTTTCAGAAACAGGCTTTTGGTATGTGGTCTGGTGGCAGTCCCCACCCCAGCTCACATCATCTGCCTACAGCATCCCCAATCCAAATGTGGCACTGAGTTTTATGTGCTGCAATCTCAAAAGGTTTGGGGACTGAATGAGCACAGTGAAATTTTTGAAATGGCCAATCCTTTGCGTTTAAGCTTTTGGGTAAAACACAGACTTTTCTGGGAATGGTCTGTTTTATTTCCATACTCGTACCTTAAACTTGCCAGGTACAATTGGGCTTGGACTTTTGAATGGTGATTTCTTTCCTGTCAGAAAGAGGAGGAAAGGGTGGGTACCTGAGAGTACATGGATGGCCATATCCATCCTCTCTCTGCTCCTGCTGGCTTTGGAGCCAAACCAGAGTTAACCACAGGCAGGATGTTTTTTCCCAGTGCTGCCTCTGGAAGAAACAGTGACAACCCTTGACCATGTGGCAGGTGTCCCACCAAGGTGAAGAGCTTTCCATCCTCCTATGACCCTCCCTATTGCATCTGCAATCCATGCTGCACTGGTATCTTGGAATCCCAGCATTCCAGGCTCCTCGTGCTGTTCTCCCTTCTGCAGTTTGTAGTGGAATTAGGTGTGTGTTGGACAAGACACCATGGGTGCTTTCATTAGCTATTCCCTTTTCAAAGTAAGTCTGAAGAAGGCTCATTTTGTTAGGGTGAGCAGGATCAAAATTCCAAATTCTATGGCTGCCTGACTGGAACCTCCTTTGAAGTGTGGAGAATTGTTTTGCCTCTGTATTGTCATTTGAACTGGAAATGCCAAGCAGTCAGGATTTTGAAGTGAGTCAGACTTGGTGCAAATAGAGAAAGCTCTGTGTCTTCTCAGCTGTTGTTGGGGTATTTTTTAGTTGATTTTTGAGTTGACAGGGTAGACTGTGGATGTATTTCTGTTGGACTCATGCAGTACCATGGCTGTTAAGACTGGAAATGAGAGTGAGGGTACTGTCACAAACTTACTTTCACAGAAGAAAAGCACGGTGGGGTTTTGTCCAGTTGCCCAAATTGTGACCGTTCAGCTGATAGTGCACATATGTGCATGGCTGTCCCCTATTTGCATATTTCAGTGTAATTAATTTTTAAACTTCTGCTACTTTTAAATAGCTGATGTGTAACCAGGTAAATTTGGTATATTAACCTTTTCCTGTGTGCCTTGGCCAGCAAAAAGACTATTTTCTACAAACAAGTCCTGTTTTATATGATAAGAGTACATGAACTCGTGTGAACTAACTCTTCAGTTTTACAAGAGCAAAAAAGAGAAACCTTTTCTTACAAGCCTCTTAGTTTCTGTAAGGTGGGTTACATTACAAAGTATCAGCATTAATTTAGTTGAACAGCAGGAATATTTTTTTGCATTTATTATAAAGATTGGTACAATTCAGATGAGATAGTCATCTGTTGCTGGGTGGTAAATATTGATTTCCCTTCATGCAGCTGTGCTAAGCAGAACACATGAAAACCCCCACAAACCAAACCAAACCCAAATCAATCACCTGGCAGTGCCCTCCATCTGGAAACACCTGTGAGACCTCGTTTAGCTTAATCATAATCACATGTTCAGCTCTGATAATGCATCTGCCAGGTGAGCCTCAGACATCAAACCAGCTTCAGGTTCATTCCTGATCTTGTGTGTCCCACATCCCACGTCTGCCTGATCCATCAGAAAAAGGAGTTGGTAAAGTTTGAACATTAAGGCAACAGCTTTTCAGAGCCCAGGGCTGTGATAGCTGTCTCCTAAGGGCTGTTGCTGGAGAAAAGAAGTGCTGAGAAGTGTTTGATTTTACAGCAAGGCAGCTGTAAATAGCCAGGGGTTTAAAAGTTCCAGTGATTTACAGGATAGAAGCCATCCTCTTGGGATACTTCTTGTGCCCTCTGTGCTCATTGTAGATTTTTACAGTACTTTAAACAAGGTGAAGTTCGTCCCTCGAACTACAGCTCCTGATGAAAAGTCCTCCTCCAGCTTCCCTGTAGCCCCTTCAGCTACTGGAAGGTTCTGTGAGGTGTCCACACACCAACCTTCCCTTCTCCAGGCTAAACAGCCCAAAGTTTACCAGCCTGTCTCCATAGTGAAGGTGCTCCAATGACTTCTGGACAGCTGTGTCATTCAGCCTCTTTTGGCAACAAAGGAACTGAAATTAAGATTATTTGGAGACCCTCACGGTGGGATCCCCACCCCACATCTGGGCGCTGGTGTGGGTGTGCTGGGCTGGCTGGAGCAGAGCCCTGGGGAGCAGAGGGGGCTGTCCTCTCCTCACCACAGCACTGGGAACACTGGGAATGCTGTGGTAGCCCTGGAGCTGCAGGGCTGTGAGCCATCCCACAGCCAGTGTCAGCCTGCTGTGCCAGCTGGGCTGTTTACATTTGTTCCCTTTGCGATGGCAAAGGCTGAAAATATTTCCCATAATTTGTGTTTGCTGCTCTCCGCAGAAGAGTCACGATTTATTTTTACAGTAACCTCACATTTTAGAAAGACACCTTCCTGTTTGTGTGCCGTTTGTCCCTGCAGTGGCAGAGGGATACGTGCCCTCCCAGCCTGTTGAGAACAGGAGATGGGACTCTGCTGGGAGAAATACTGCTGGAAATCTCTGCTGATTCATTTAGCTAATGGCTCAGGAAGAAAAGCCCTTTATGTACTGATGGCTGAATATCAGCCAATGTATCATATAAAGCACAAGTCACTGTTTTTTTTTTTTCCAAATTAGGCTCCCCACCCTGTCAGAGCTGCTTTCCTGAGTCATTCCACTGATTGTAAACACTGTTTTAAACTCTGTCTGCACAAAGGGAGGAAATGGAAAGGGAATCCCCATCCACTTGCCTGCCTATAGGTGAGACTTGCCCCTCGGTGCTGGGAGAGCCTCTCCATTGGGAGAGTGAGTAATTGAATGAATATGTATCTCTCTGTACTGTGCCTAAGAAGCAACTGGGTAAAGAATTGTTTGTTTAACTTCTTGGGTCTACAAAACCCAACCTACCCAGAGAAAAATGAGTGAGGAACTCTTGAGCCCACACTGACTGCACCAACTCAATTACGTTTCTGGTTCAGGAGCACATTTTGGCCTCAAAGTTATTTGCACAAAATTATCTCTAACATAAGAAGGAGCTGTTATCTGGAGAGGTGCAGAGGCACGCGTGGAATTCTCTGGGACTTTTTTTTTTACTGGCAGTTGCATGCAAAATGGAAAATACCTTGTTTGGAACAGAGCTGGCAGGCAGCAAACAAAACCCAACTTAAAAGACTTTTCCTGGAGCAGGAAGTGACACGAAGCCCTAACACAGACACTTTTTAGAGGTTAAAACAGCACTTTGGAAAGTGTGAATGTTTCACTTCAAAAAATGCAGAAAATAAGTAAATAATTCAAAAATTAGGAAAGGTTGCTAGGAAGGTACAAGTTGGGTTTTTTTTGTTTGTTTGGTTGGTTGGTTTTTTGCTTATTCAGCTTATTTTGTGCCTATGCACATTTGATCTGGTAAGTAAAGACTATTCTTAGCTCTACAACCTCTGACTTGTCTCACATCACTTTGGGCCTGAAGCAGGACAATATCAATGTACCTTCATCACAAAACTGTTTTATCTCTTCCTTGAATTCCTAGATTTGTTCAACAGGGCCTCCAAGATCCTGCCAGAAGAGAAGCACAGACCTTGCAGATCTTTGTTGCAATGCACATTCCTCTTCATGCCAGCATCACCTGAGATTTCACTCTTAATCTCACTTGTGCTCTGCTTCTGTCTAGGGTTTTTGTTGGTTTTGATTTTGGGGTTTTTTTTGTTTGTTTGTTTGTTTTGTTTTGTTTTCTATTTTTCAATTAATGGAGAAAGCTAGTTTGTGGTGTCGGGTTGTGCTGTCACATATTGACCATCAGAAGGTTGGAGTCTTTGATTTCATCATCTAAACTAAAGAACCTCTTGCTAGATCCTGTTGTGGTGCCAGCATTTCAAGCTGGGAGAGCCCTTTGTGTATTTT